ATAGCGGTTTGGTGCCAATATTCATAAGTGAAAGAAAAGTGCTAAAGGTCAGTTTGAAGTTAGTGAAAATAAAAATGTAGTTTTTCCCAAAAATTCATGGACCCCCCTGAAGTCTGTTCATGAACCAGACCCTTGGTTAAGAACTTTGAATCTAAAGGATGAAGTGAGAGGTAGGAAAGAAAGGAAATATGCATGTGGATGAACAAAAGGAACCACTGTCAGCCTAGCCAAGGTGACTTGAGTGCAGAAGCAGTGATCCTAAGCTGTCTCCTCTGCAATCACAGAGACTTGGTGGTTGCCTTATAAGTCCAGTATTGCCAGGTACTGTAGAAACAAAGGCCAAATTCAGGTAAATGTGAGAACCTGGGGGCTAGAAGTGGGAGGGAGAACAGGATTGGAACCAAAAGAAAGGGTTCCTGGCTGGATTGGGTTAAAAAAACAAAAGATCAGAATTCTCCTCAGCTATAATATCCTCAGCCTGGCGAGGATGGTAATGATTCAACTTCTTAAAGACCAATGTACTAAGATTTAGAGTTGTCCAAAAGTGGAAATAGAATGGTTTCCCCATCAAGGAAGGTCTCTGAGCCAAGGAAAGATGGGTTTTTGGTGACTATATTAGAGAAGGGACTCTCTGTAGCTACAGACTGTACTTCCAACTCTAAGATTATATGATTCGTCCAGAATAATTTTCCTACTGAACAAGGAATACTGCCAATCACTCTCAATCTATTCCTTGAAAATACCTGCCTAGGCCATTGTACCACCAAACTGAGAGAGGTTTGAAAGATAACTGGAGACTCCATTTCTTCTCATTCTCTACCTGCTTACAAGATATCCAATAAATACTCCATAGAAAGGTTCCCTAGATGGTAGAAATTATCCACAGGGAGCCCATTAATCATATAATAGTCAATAATACAGCATTTCCATCTTCACTACAACCCTATGAGGTAGGGACTACTTCAGGGATTATGTCCATTTTATTGATGAGGAAAGTAAGTCATCAACAAGCATTTTTTAATGGCTTACTACTTACCAGATACTTTGTTACATGCTGAGAATACAAATGGTCTAGTTGTACAACAAGCGAGATATAAACACAGATCTTCTTGATTCAAGGCCAGCACTCCATTCTGTATGCCAGCCCAACTTTCCTGTCCAATGTAACCTTAGAACCACTATCCTGATAGCTAGGGCACCTCGAGCTCCAAGAGTTCCCTTATCACTTTATAACATGCCGAGTAGACTAGACCTGGTAGTGATTAGACGGCTGTGGCTGACAGAAGAGGATCCAGGAGGCTGGGGAGAGTGAGAAAAGGTTACATTTGTTGCCATGTTTGTTCTGCTCTTGTTTTGTGTTTTGTCAGTTTGCTCAACTGCAATATGAGAAATTTGACATGCTTGCCTCAGTGGACTGCTGTGAGGAAGACTGGCAAATCGACTAGCCCTGCCCTCAAAGAGCCTGCATTCTAATGAGGGAGGTAATGTACAGAGCAGATGAATGAAATCCAAAATGGACAAACTAGAACACGAAAAGGCTTTTCTTATTGGGTTGGGTTTTTGGGGGGGAGGGGGGAGGCAACCGATGTTAAGTGACTTGCCCAGGGTCACACAGCTAAGTATGTGTCAAGTGTCTGAGGCAGGATTTGAACACAGGTCCTCCTGACTCCAGGGCCAGAGCTACCTAGTTGCCCCAGAAAAGGCATTTTTTAGAAAGTGAGATTTGAGCTGATCCTTGAAGACCGCTGCTATAACTCAAGGAAATTATGAGTTCTGCCATGCAGGGTCACCGGAGACAGACAAGTCATAGTAGAGTTGTGACAAAAGGTGATCCACTGGAGAAGGAAATGGCAGACCATTCCAGTATCTTTGCCATGAAAACTCCGTGGACAGTAAGCTTGGACAGACTTTGGGAGACAGTGGAGGTCAGAAAGGCCTGGAGCGCTATGGTCCAGACGTCTTGAAGTCAGACAGGACTGAAGGACTGCACGACAGACCGAAAAAGGCTAAGAAAGCCAAGAGGCAAAGGGGAGGGGCTAGAACATTCTAGATTTAAGGGCAAGCCAGTTCAAAGGCACAGAGAGAGATGGCGTGTGGTGTCCTAGAAACTCTAAATAAGACTGTGTAGCATGATCACAGAGTGAAAAGGCAGGCATAAGGTGTAAGAAAGGGAGGAAGAAGCCAGGTTGTGAAGAGATTAAAATACTATCGAGAGGACTTTACTTTTGGTCCTGGATGAGTTCGAATCCTGCCGCAGACACTTGCTAGCCTATGACTTTGGGTCAATCAACCTTTCTAAGTCTTGGATTCTTCACAGGTAAAAAGGGGGTGACAGTAACATCAACTTCCTAACAAAGCTATCTGAGGAACAAACGAGCTAACCCTCTGCAAACCTCAAAGCGTCAGCTCTTACGAAATGAGATATGTGTGATAACATCTGGTACCGGGCAAAGCGCTATACAAATGTAAGTTACTGCTATTAGCCTCAGAACAACTAGCCAGAGTAGGTGGCTCAGACCTTTGAGGGTTCCTGGGGTGGCGTCGGCCCCCTGCCCCGACCCGCAGGGACCCTTAGTGTCTCTGCCAAACCCCTCAGGGTGAGAGGAGACCCACCCACCACGAACACACACTTACACGCGCGCGGGCGCACACACCCACACTATCCCACGAGGATTCATTCAGGTTGGACTCTAAGGCATCTGAGCCAGTTTTCCATGACAAAAGTGAAACAGAGAGCTTGCCGCCAAGTAGGGCAGTGGGATGGCAGGAAGAGGAAAGGAGAGAAGGGAGCCTTCCAGACCCCGGCGGCTGCCAGTTGACTTAATATAGGAGGTAGGAGGAAACCTACTGTTCTGTTCTATAAAGAAAGGGGTAGCCGAACCTGCGAGGAGAGGAGGCAGAGCCTTAAGAGTGCTTGAGAACCTCGGGGAGGGAGAAAAGGTGTTTTTAAAACTCCAGTCCTCCAGGTTAGAGCTTGCTGGATATTTCAAATGCTCTAGCGCCTCGATTTTTTATTGGAGGTGAGAGAGGATGGATTAACGAAAGGCGATGGAGGCATAGGTATAAGGATTAGGGCGCTTAATGGAGTCAGGAAACCTGTGTTCAAATTCTGCATCGGACACTTGTTGGTTGTGTGATCCAGAGCAAGTAACTTAACCTCTCTGGGCCTCAGTTTCCTTCTCTGTAAAACGAAGTAATTACCTCTAAGATCTTTTCCCGTTCCACATTTATGGATCCTGCGGTATGCGTTAAAAATCAGGTAACCTGCTTCTTTTGTCCCAGGTAGTCCTCATTCGCTTCCGGTCTTAATCCGAAAGATACTCAAGAGTTTGTAGTTTTTCCCTGGGCCCCGCGGCAGCCGCTTTGAATTGCAAAGAGAATCCCTGGGCTGAGTGGGCTGTGTTACTTACCTGGGCCCCAGGTGCCCTAGGAGGGCGGGGAGGAGCCCGGGCTATCCGAGTCACCCAGGCTGCTCCCCGACAAAACCAAGCGGCCAACTGGGGGCCAACTATGAGCTTGGCTCCGGGGGAAAAATGCACAAGGCGGGGTTTTGGGGTTGGAAATGAATTAAACCGGACCCACCAGATTTCCACTGGGAGTTCCTTAGACGAAAATGTCGAGACTCTGAAAAATCTCGGCAGATCCGTTGTTAAAGATCGAAAGCTTTTTGCCTAGATCTAATTTCCATCTAGATCATCGCCCCTGTACACACACACACACACACACACACACACACACACACACACACACACAC